AGGGTTCAGGGTTTAGGGTTTGGGGTTTAGGGTCTAGGGTTCAGGGTTTAGGGTTCAGGGTGATCCCTTCCCCCCCCCCTAATCATCGTAAACCCCCTGCCCGCGCCCTGAAATTCACAGAGTCTCACTTTTGTAGGTGATAGTACCTGGGGAACATGAAATCTTACGGGGTGGCGTTGGGGGCTCATAATTAGGGGAGCGTTTGGGGGGGGGGGGGGATTCCTAGGCTTAAACCCTGAACCCTAAACCGTAAACCCTAAACCCTAAACCCTGAACCCTGAACCCTGAACCCTAAACCCTAAACCCCAAACTCTAAACCCTAAACCCTTCTTGTTGAGGGTAGTTAGGCTAACTCTAGCGGGGATGACGCAGAGCTTGTGGCTTACGGCTTTCGAAAATCTGGGGTGTAACTATCTAGGGTTTAAGGTATAGGTTTAGGGTTTAGGGTTTTGGGTTTAGGGTGTAGGGTGTAGGGTTTAGGGTTTAGGGCCCGAGTTTGCTTCGAGAAAGCTCATCAGGGATAAAGGAGGCGGAACGCCAAGCCTGGGCCCACCGGAAATGCCAAATCCCTGGAAACCCCAAACCCTAAACCCTAAACCCTAAACCCTAAACCCTAAACCCAAACCCCAAACCCCAAACCCCACCCCAAACCCCCCTAAACCCTAAACCCTAAACCCTAAACCCTAAACCCTAAACCCTAAACCCCCAAACCCCAAACCCCAAACCCCAAACCCCAAACCCCAAACCCCAAACCCCAAACCCCAAACCCCAAACCCCAAACCCCAAACCCCAAACCCAAAACCCCTAAACCCTAAACCCTAAACCCTAAACCCTAAACCCTAAACCCAAGTCCATGGAAACCCCAAACCCCAAGTCCAGATCGACACCTCCTTCTGGGCGCCGGCGGTATCACGGCCGTCCTGGCCGCACGTGCGGCACGGGTCGGGAGCCACGGTGGCTGTGGACATCTTCGTAGGTTTAGGGTTTAGGGTTTAGGGTTTGGGGTTTGGGGTTTGGGGTTTGGGGTTTAGGGTTTAGGGTTTAGGGTTTAGGGTTTAGGGTTTGGGGTTTGGGGTTTGGGGTTTAGGGTTTGGAGTGTACATAGGAACTTCAAGCTCCGTTCATCCCCTCTGCGTAGGGTTTCCGAAAATAGCGGCGCCCTTTTTGGATGTCTGGGGTACCACAAGGGGGTACCCCTATTCATGCGTACGGTGACAAGCATAGTCTGGGCTTTGGTGCATAGGATTCGGGGTTTACTTGCAAGCCCTTCTTTGACTTAGCAAGTAGGGTTAGGAAGCTGGGCTATGGGGATTCTAGTAGGGTCTCTAGGGGATACGAAGTAGACTTTTTAAGCCCTAAGCCCCAAGCCCCAAGCCCTAAGCCGTAAGCCCTAAACCCTAAACCCCAAACCCTAAACTCTAAACGGTTCCTTTAAACACTAAGTCAGAAGAGCTTCTAAGTAGGGTGGTTCTCATCGAAGCTCTTAGGTTAGACGCCTGGGTCCTGCGGCCTCTTCCCTGGCTGCGGCGCTAGGCTGGGGTTTGGGGTTTAGGGTTTAGAGCTTAGGGTTTAGGGTTTGGGGTTTAGGGTTTACGGTTTAGGGTCTAGGGTCTAGGGTTTAAGGTTTAGGGTTTAAGGCTTTTGGGGGCTTCCCGAATTATGTGGTTTTATTCGAGCGGAGCGTTGTTGAAGAAAGAGCAATTTTATAAAAAAAGCCACACAGCGTAAGAAGTTCAAGAAGTATAAAAAATAACAAAAAATAAGATCTGCTAAAATAGCATAAACTATTCCAAACTGCATACTGTGCATAAACTATTCATGTACGTAGCTTTAATAAGAACCAAACACGCTGAGACAATATAAGTAGCGGAGCATCCATCACTGATGGAGGGTTTGGGGTGTAGTGCTTGGGGGTCTCAGGGTTTTGGGGAAACCCTAAACCCTAAACCCTAAACCCTAAACCCTAAACCCTAAACCCTAAACCCTGCTGCTGGGGTTCTCCAGACGCCGGCTTTTTTCAAGCATCCCTTGCCACGCCCTCCCTAAACCCTAAACCAAAAACCCAAAACCCAAAACCCAAAGCCCAAAGCCCTAAACCCTAAACCCTAAACCCTAAACCCTGAACCCTAAACCCAAAACCCTAAACCCTAACCCTATACCGCAGTAGGATCTTGAAGTTTTGGTGCCAATATCTTCGAAGGATGCAGGGGCTTGCATCGATTTAGGGTTTCGGATGGCCGTTTTGATTTATGAGGAAATCCTAGACCACCTTAAACCCCAAACCCCAAACCCCAAACCCTAAACCCCAAACCCCAAACCCCAAACCCCAAACCCTAAACCCCAAACCCCAAACACCAAACCCCCAAACCCCAAACCCTAAACCCTAAACCCTAAAGCCCACCCGTGAAGCTTCAAAATTCTCCAGCAGTTCCTTTTTGCTGGAGAAGGCGCTGCGGCTGTCGCTGGGGGGGTCGCCTCTCAGCATGGGGCCCTGGCTGAGGACGCGGTGTTGGTTTAGGGTTTAGGGTTTAGGGCTTGGGGTTTAGGGTTTAGGGTTTGGGGTTTTGGGTTTAGGGTTCAGGGTTTAGGGTTTAGGGTTTAGGGTTTGGGGTTTAGGGTTTAGGGTTTAGGGTTGAGGGTTTAGGGTTTGCTATGAGCGCATGCAGGGGCAATCGTCAGAAGAATCATCGTGGCAGTGCTAACAATCAGAGGAGTAGTGAATGCAAGGTACATACATAGAAATACGGAAACGATCAGTTACTGTAGTATCTAAGTGTCATTGAAAGCGAGCTATCTAAGTAGCAAATGGCAAATCAACAGATACTAGCACAAACGCAGGCAAAACAACTGTCACCATCGATGACGTAGAAATAAAGCTAAACATAAAAATAAAAGTATATCTATCTATCTACATATATATCTATATATATATATTATTATATTATATATATATATATGTATATATATATATATATATATTCATAGATATAGATGTAGATATAGATATAGATATAGATATAGACAGCCAACTACGAATAGCAGTGACAATCAGTCAGTGCTGTATACAGGGTCGAAGGTTGTGTGGTACAGGGATGTAGAAGGCTGATTCTAGCCTGGCAAATGGTTATCATGTGGCAAATTGGAGTTTTGATGTTGGCTACGACATCATGGCTGCGGCATGTGCATGCGCTTCAGAAGGGTGAGGGTCTGCGGGTTTTACGTCGCAATGTTCCAGGATCTTGTCCCAAGCTTTCCCGAAACCCCAATACCTAAACTTGCACGCCACATCTTGCGTTCTTCTCCCTGAACCCTAAACCTTAAACCCTAAACCGTCTGCTTCTTGAGCCCAGTTCCCTTACCCGGAAGTTGATCCTGAGGCTCAAGTGCTGAGGCACCCTGCCCGCCCCAACCCTTCACGTGTTCGAGCATCCCCGCTAGTTGCCTCGTTTCAGATCTCTTGTTGAGGAACCAAATGTAGTTACCGCACCTAAGCCCTAGACCCCAAACCCGAAGCCCTAAACTCTAAACCCTAAACCCGAAGCCCTAAACTCTAAACCCTAAACCCTAAACTCTAGACCCTAAACCCTAAACCCGAGTGTCTTTTACTGTGATAGCTGAACTTAAGTTCCCTAACGAGAACCCAGTCATAGCAGCTGTGCTTCGGTTCCTCCCCAAACCTTGCTGTTGAGGGTTCAGGGTTTAGGGTTTAGGGTTCAGGGTTTAGGGCTTGAGGTTTAGGGTTGAGCCGCAGATTGAGTCTTGCAGTGCAGCCATGTGCTCCTTCCTTGTCAGCAGTTGGCTCCTGTCCAACCTGACCTACGTGAACTTCTTCATGCGGCCCAGGGGGCCGGACCTCACGACCAGAGCCGAGTTCCACAACTTCACTTTCGTCCACAACCTACTTCACATGACTGGCCGCCTGTCTTGCGGTTTAGGGTTTCGGGTTTCGGGTTTAGGGTTTAGGGTTTGGGGGAATGTGGCGACGAGTTCAGTGCAGTGGCGAGGGCCAGGCTGGCTCAGCTAGGCTGTAGGCTGCGGCGCTTCTGCATCTCAGGTGAGCGGGTCCCACAGCCCTTCGTGAGCAGCGCGGGCGACGTGGTCGCGCTCTACAACGGTGAGATCTACAACTTCCGCGACCTCGTGCCCACGGCCCGCAGTGATGGGGAGGTGCTGTTGCCACTCTACACGAGTCTCGCTGTTGAACAAAGCACTCTTACTAACCATGGCCCATGTAAGGGTGCTAAACCCTAAACCCTAAACCCTAAACCCTAAACCCTAAACCCTAAACCCTAAACCCGAAACCCCAAACCCTAAACCCTAAACCCTAAACCCTAAACCCTAAACCCTAAACCCTAAACCCTAAACCCTAAACCCTAAACCCTAAACCCTAGGAAGATTGGCGACACTTTCCCTCGATGGTTGGATGGGGAGTTTGCCCTGGCCGTGCTGGACTTTCGACTCCGCCGTGCGGTCTTATCCACTGACATCTTCTCCACGAAGCCGCTCTGGCGCTCCGCCTACCAGGGGATTTAGGGATTTTGGGGGGTCTAGGACTTCAGGGTTTTTCGGGACTTAGGTATAGGGATTTGGGTGGTCTGGGGGTGTAGGCAGGACTTCCGGGTTCCGGGGATTTCGGTATAGGGGTTTCTCAGGGCTTTCTGACAGCAAGAAGGTACTCCACCTACCAGGGGCTCCACTTCGCGAGCTACCGCAGTGCCCTGTTGCGCCTAGGCATACCTGCGGGAGCCTCGGCGGCAAGCTTCGTGGGGTAGGTCAGTGGATCGGTCACATCAGGTAAGTAGGGCACCATACATTCCCGAAACCCTAAACCCTAAACCCAAAACCCTAAACCCTAAACCCTAAGCCCTAAACCCTAAACCCTAAACCCTAAACCCTAAACCCTAAACCCTAAACCCTAAACTTCCCTTTTGGGGGATTCTCTTCGAGCACTGAAGTTCCGATGTTCCCTGGGAGGCGAGGTGGGGATGGTGGACCCGAATTCCATCCTGGTCTTTGACCTCGACTCGCGTGCGCGCCTGCGCACCCACGCCATGCACGAGTTCGACTTGAGACAGTTCAAGCAGGCGCCAGTTCGGGCTTTGGGGTTTGGGGTTTATTGGGGTTCACCTTGGGTTTCATAAGGCTTTAGTAGTGTGTGTTTTGGCTTTTGTTCGGCTTTATGAAGGTTTTATTGGGGTGTGAGAGGGCTTAGTTCAAGTTTCCATTAGGTTTCACCCCTGTTTCACCCTAAACCCTAAACCTACCCTTATAAAGGTTTTGACTTAAGACAGTCTGCTTGGGGCGGGTGGGGGGGGGGCAGCTCTTGTTTGACTTGCTTGTGGATTGTGCAGGAGACCTGCCCTGGCTTTTTGGGGGTTTACGGGGGGTTTATGGGGGTTCACAGGTTGCATAGGGGTTTAGGGTTTCGGGCTCAGGGGCAGGGTCGGAAGTAGGGAATCTTTACATGTGACTGGCTGTAGCCTTCAGGCTTTCTTTGCTTATGAACCCTCAACTGACCCTTAACCCTGAACCCTGAAACATAAACGTCACGGGAGCCCAAGAAGTCCTGAGCCCTAAGCCCTAAGCCGTAAGCCCTAAGCCCTAAACCCTAAACCCTAAACTCTAAATCCTAAACCCTAAACCCTAAACCCTAAACCCTAAACCCTAAACCCTAAACCCTAAACCCTAAACCCTAAACCCTAAACCCTAAACCCTAAACCCTAAACCCTAAACCCAAACCCTAGAAGGACACCACGGACTTTCAGGGAGCGTTCGAGAGAGCTGTGCGAAAGCGAGTCCAGTATGCGATCCATCCAATGCTGCTCTGAAGGACAATGCCATCCTAGCAGGTGTTTAGGGTTCAGGGTTTCGGGTGTAGAGGTGTAGGTTTAGGGCGTAGAGGTTAGGATTTAGGATGTAGGTGTTTTTCTACATGATGGTGCTATTTTTGGGTCCCCTACATTTGCCCGTAGTGCAGGGGGACTATGTAGACAGCGGCATGCAGCGTGAGGTTCATTGGTCTGTCCTCTGGCTACGACAGCGGGGCCATCCACGTTGCCCTGGTGAATGACCAGGTTGGGCACTTCGCCTACACAGTCTTCTCGACGGAGGATATGGACATTCTGAAAGAACGCATCAGCTGGGCCGGAAATTGGACCGAGACCAACGTCATCGATCCTTGGTTGAATTGGGAAGCCCCAACTCCCAAACCCTAAGCCCTCAACCCTGCAATCCTACAACTCCACAACCCCGCAACCCTACAACCCTAAACCCTAAACCCTAAACCTTAAACCCTAAACCCTAGACCCTAAACCCTAAACCCTAAACCCTAAACCCTAAACCCTAAACCCTAACCAAGCCCTGCCTCCCTGCAGATCCTGAGCGGCACAGACCTTGAAGCCGAAGTCCGGGTCTCGGGAGCCAAACAAACTTGAGTCACTGAGTTAGGGTTTAGGGTTTAGGGTTTAGGGTTTGGGGTTTGGGGTTTGGGGTTTGGGGTTTGGGGTTTGGGGTTTGGGGTTTGGGGTTTGGGGTTTGGGATTTCGGGTTTCGGGTTTCGGGTTTCGGGTCTGGGTTTGGGGTTTGGGGTTTGGGGTTTGGGTTTTAAGGGTAGGCTCCCTAAGCTTCCCTTAGGCCGTAAGGCTCCCTATACTCAGGTCTAGAGTTTATGGTTTAGGGTTTAGGGTCTAGGGCTCTAGCGTTTTAGGGTTGGGGTTTCGGGTTTAGGGTTGACGGTTGAGGGTTTGGGGTTAGGGGTGTAGGTCGTCATACTAGGATCCCTTCTGCAACTGAAGGACTGACCGATTGGAGTCTGTGTGTGTGTGTGTGTGTGTGGGTTTGTTCCCGGAAAATGAGTGTTCTATGGGGCATAAGCTTCTTGAGTTTTGGGGCTTGGGATTTCATGCTGTTGCAGCTCACCAGGCACATGCATTTGTCGTAGATTGTAGCACAGTCAGAACAAAAAAACCTAAGCCCTAAACCCTAAACCCTACACCCTAAACCCTAGGCGCTTCCGGGCCTGTTCACCCCAGTGGCTCCTTCCTTGACGCTTCTTGCTGGTCCTTTGTAGGAAGATCAGGGGAACGGGGTTCCTCATCACCTCCTCTAAACACCCTAAACCCTAAACCCTAAACCCTAAACTCTAAACCCTAAACCCTAAACCCTAAACCCCAAACCCTAAATCCTAAACCAACTTTGAGGGATTCTACATGGAACCGAGTTCCGCCCGTTCCCAAAACCCTAAGCCCTGAACTTGCCAAACCGAGTCCTCCAATTCCCTTCCAGGGTTGAGGGTTTAGGGTTTAGGGTTTGGGGTTTAGGGTTTAGGGTTGTGGTGCTTTACTGTAACTTTAGATCCTTAGCCTTGTTGGGTTTATTGGGTTTCTCTCAATAAGGCAGCTAACAATTCAATGTACAGCTACCCTTCTGAGTGCAGTCAAGTTAAGGTTTAGGCTTAGGGAACCTCATGCTGCAATTCCCAGATGCCTAAGGCCAACCGCC